AGAAGAGAAACACATGCATCTACACACACACACACACACACACGCAATAGCCATGTTCGCCCCTCTCTACATTCTTTCCATGCCGTCTCATCTGTGATGCCGTCTTGCACGCACAAGCACAGATGGGGTCACACATGCACACACGTCGGACCGACCCGAGAAACACGCACGCTTTACTCTTGTATAATCAACGGCGTCTAAAAACACATTCAACATTCATTACGTGCCATTTATATTTAAGCACAATGAATAAAACATCTGGCAGAATCCTGAAGGCTCACTCGACATGAAAAATGCAGAGGAGCCTTCCAACAGGTTTTTAATGAGCCTGATTGATTGGAGGAGCCGCGTGACGTTCATTTGTGTGACGCCGCAGCTGAAGTTCACCACATATTTTTATTCGAGCTCTGCAACGCCAATACGGGTGTTGCACCGTTGTCACTAGCAACAGGACTGCTCAGTGTTTTCCAGAGATAATTAGTAAAAAAAATACAGGACAATTATCTTTGAGATGGTGCAAAGACATTTATTTTTTTCGTTGAAAGGGCGATTGTTGCTCATTTTGATTAGCTGGACTGAAGTGGCGCCGCTGTACGGAGCAGTGATTGCTGCCTGGGCATTGTCCATTCAGGCTCACAATTCTAATTTGATTTTAAATTGAGTGTCTGAAATATCTCTTAAACAGTTGACATGTGGTAGATATTCACCCAGGGGAAGAAACATCCGACATCCACACCAATCTAAAATCTGAAAAAATGGTTTCATGTCCCGCGAGAGAGCGAGGACCCGGTCGGGGGCCGACACCGCTGGGATTGGAACATGTACGATGCCCGATTCACGCGGCCAGAAGCGCCATCACATCGTCGGACGCGTCTAGTGGCTCCCCGACACGCTGCCCCTTCAGTTTGGGAGAATATTGGTTTGCAGCAGGGAAAATCAAGCTCAATGAATAACTGATCCCGATGTTTCCTCTACGTTATGGCCAAACAGCAGCATTCACACACACTCACAACCATGACGATATTATTGAAAATGAAGAAGCTATTGACCCCAAGCGGGATTCATGAGTTTATAGGAAATCCAAGTTAAAAGATGCAAATCTAATTGGCTCATACAGCCTGCTGTACTTTTCTCTCAGTTGAGAACAATATGTCTTATAAAATCAAATTCGCCACAGATTTGCCAAGAAGTATTGTAAAAGGACAAGACGCATTATGACACTGAAACTTTCCAAATCTATGCGGCAAACACGGCAAAATGCCGACCCAACTCCATGTCCTACGATTCCTGGATCTCGCTTATCTTGAGTAGAAATGTAAAGATAATGTTGGTGCACAAATCAAATCTTAAGACCATTCAGAGTACAAAATGCAACAAAAAGAAGTGTCGGGATATTGCGAAGTATTAAAACGGATTTATGGCGTAGAATCCCCAGGAGCCGAACTCACACGTGAGGAAACCACGAGATGAGAGAAGACCCCCAAAGAGATAAGGAAGGATTATGGGACGGGGAAGGTTTAAGTGAAAGAAGGGTGGGGCGGATGGATGAGGAGACATTCAAATGAGCCTTAATAGTTTTATAACTGCGCGGGGCGATTCCTGACATGCCTTTAATGCCGCAGTTAGGATGACACGTCCTATTCGGAGTAATTACATGGTGCCATGGAAGGCTTTTAAATCCGCGCCAGCAGTTAGCTGCAAGCGCTGTGCTTGTATTTGCAGACAGAAAGCACATCAGACGTCACATCGACCCCCACCACCCTGCGCGTAGCCATCTGAGGGCAGAGCACTGCTACGCCGCACCGTGCACCAGCTCCACCCAAAACCAGCCCCTCTATACACACACACACAGCTCAGGTTTCTATTTGCATACACACACCTGTGACATTTCCCCGGCATGGCTGTCTGCGCAGGAGGAAAAGGTGATAACGCTCTTGAATGCGAGAGGCCCGTCTCATCAGGCAGAGTCGCTGTCAGAGCCAGAAAGCCCGGCGGCCCCCGAGGGGCCTCGGCCGATCTCTCTAAGACGCAGTTCAAGGCGGCGAACGTTTTGCACCCGACTCCATGATTTGTCATCGCCGCCCCGATACGAGAACTCGCCTAAAAACAGCGGGACAATGAAGGAATACCCTGATACGCCACTAATGCAGGGTCTTCACCTTTAAACGTGGGAACACCAGAAGAACAGAGCAAAAGGGGCCCGATGTGTGTTTGTGGTAAACTGCACGGCCAACAAGGGATGTTTCTCAGCAATGGAAATGACACTTCTGTGTTATGAAACGCTCTTTAAATCTCCTCAACCTTTGGAAGGAACCATCCCAAACTGAAAATAGAGAGAAGCTCTGCAGGAAAGAACAAAGGAAATAATGATGGTGTTTTTTTGGAAAACGTTTTTGCTTTTTTAGCTCACGTTCTGTGTGTAAAATGTGGACAAGATTCAGAGATTACTTGAGCTGAGAAGCAGGGTAACGGTGATCGAACCTTCTGACTTGTGGAGTTGTTTTTATCTAGTCGAGCATTTAGATAAGTAAACCGTACGAGCGCAGTGCTGCATTTGAAGATTTACATTTTTAATAAAGTTACCGCTGCTGCGTGACGGCCAGAGGGATCAAGCAAAGAACGTTCTACAGTGCTTGGTCAGCCTGAGACAGTGCGAGGCTGCAAAGAAGATGAAAGCTGCTGTGCTCATATACAGCCGAGTTGCATCACTTAATCCAGATAAACTCCCTCTTAATGAAGAAATAAACGTTAACTTTAATAAGTTGAACCTAATTGACGTCTGACCTCCTAACGTTCATGCTGATTAAAGCTCGGCGCGTTAGCCCCAATTAAAACAGACTAATAAGTCACAATTTCAAACAAAGATGAGTGTCACAGGACAAGATACTATAATTACATTCTGTTACACACTCAGGCATGTATCGACACACACACACACACACACACACACACACACACGTTTCTGTTCATCCTCTTAACTTTGATCACTTTCGATTCAGCACATTCTATGCTCATATTCTTATGGGCATTGGGTTTCTACATTGAGGGGGTTAGAGTCATTTTCTCGAGCAGTGTGTGTGTGTGTGTGTGTGTGTGTGTGTGTGTGTGTGTGTGTCTGCCTGTGAGTGACGTCAAGGGAAGATTATATTAAGTCTCACATTCTCTGGTCCATAAAAGTTGCGATTTCCCACCGAATTCTGGAGGTCACTTCTGTTCTCACTGCTCGGTCCCTCCATCATCTGCTTCAGTTAATTTGTGTCTGTCTCTTTTTTTTTTTTATGCACACAGACAAACACACTCGCACAATAATGCGGCGACACAATGCCAGACGTGGGCATAAAAGGGCGCACACAAAAAGCAGGCAGGATTAATTGTAAGTGTAAAGCGCAGAATGGACAGTCAGGGGTTAATCCGGCCCCCTAATCCTCAGCCGATAAAGAGCTTAACATGGAGGGTTGGGAGTTACGGATATTTAGAAATGTGGAATATTTCTATAACGCTGCTGAGTTTGGCTCACACAACTCAGCAGGGAGGTTGAGACAACAATAAAGAGAGGGGGATGTTAGTGTGTGTGTGTGTGTGTGGGGGGGTGGATGATGACAAAGGGCCAAAGTTGACGGACACAGAGAGGGAACTCCTTTAATAAAAGATGAACGGAGCCAAAACAGTGAGTGGGAGCGTAAAAGAGAAAGTAACGTATGGAAGGAAAAGAGGATTCACGATGTCACGCAGTCTAAAACAGAGAGAGACAAACATTTGTTTCATGTCATTGGACTATCGTGCTTTTATCATTCATCCAACTCAATGTATCTCAACTGCTACGCCTCAAAATATGTATGATTTCTTTCAGAGGCACTTTTATATTCTTTGGTTACCCACTAAATATTTCACTTAAAATGCTGCCTTGATAGTACATTCATTTTTAATAGTTTTGACCTTTGTCAGATAACCACATCGGGGCCGGCAGCCTCCTGCTGGTCCTTATTCAGATAAGATGTAAGAAATATTACTGTCGCTGACCTCGTCCTCTCAAGGATGTGTTGAATGTGCTGAAATGGACACTTACAGAATATTTTTCATTACGATCAGTACTTTTATCTTCAAGCAACAGTTACTTGTTTTGTTAAAAAAACAGATATGTAACCAAAGGTTGTTCTCAATTACAAGGTTCAAATAAAGAATGCATTTATATATTGGTAAATAGGTTCCCAGTGTGATCTAAAGGATTAAAATGGATTTTTCATTTTAATTCAACTCAAAGTGAGGTCGTTTTTTTCTCCTCAATATAAGTTTTAATAATAAGATCTGGTAAAATATGACAGATCAATTTAAACTTGAATAATATGGGTGTCATTTTACAATGAAATGTCAAACCAAAACATCTTACTACAGTCGCTGGCGATAATCGCTGTGCTGTAGTTTTAAGCACCTGCCTCCTCTACAATCCCGTCTCCAGCGATTTCGCTCATCCAACTTTAAAACCACCTTGTGTGACATGCTGAGTAAATCCCAGCGATTCCTTCGGGGTCCAAGCAGCACTTTGAATGCAACACCAGCGTATCCCAGCGGCCTCTCTGCCTTCAGGTTCAGAAAGCTCCTCAGGTTTAACGAAGCGTTTGCTCGCACTAGACTTAAGCGCCACTGAGGTGGCCGCGTTCGTCATTCTCACCAGTCATCCATCTGAGCTTTTTTTTCATCCCATCTGTGCCGCTGCACCAGGGCCCTCAAACACCGAGAGGCTTTGAGGGAGAGAACAAGTGGCCGGTAGTGTGTGTGTGTGTGTGTGTTTTGTATGGGAAATTCCACAATCCCTCACAATAGACACTCCAGGTGCTTTTGCAGCCCTCGGTGCATGAATGTTTGAATTGCGTGTATAATAGTAGCTGACACACACATTTCCATGGTGATACAGGGCTGCATGTCTGCGAGAATCCTTAGCGACAACTTTATCATTTATAATAGTGAAAAAAACTGCCAATCAAAGGAACTCACGTACACGCTTTTCATTTTTAATTACAAATTTATTGCAAATATAGAAATAGATCTTTTGTACAGAAATTGCAAGGGGAAAAAAATGTCAGTATCAGCAACAAATAATTGAAGAAAGAAGAAAAGCAAAAAATTGTTCCCGTCATCCAATCCTCGGTTAAGTCTTTCCCTTGTGGCCACTAAACGTCACAGAGACCAGAGAGGAAAGTCACGTGGGCATTCGGATGGCACTGTCAGGGCAAGAAGCCTCTAGCGACGCAAACGGCAAAAAATAAACTAGAATGATGACGCAGTTTATTAAAAACACTGACATGTTTCTGCTCTCAGTCCCTTGTGAGTGTTGTAAAATGAAAAGCATGCTTTCGCAAAGGTAAGATGAGATGCCACCAAAATAAAACATACCTGGGGGGGGGGGGGGGGTAAGTCACTGCTTACTGACTGAGCAGATTTATGTCCCTAATTCTCACTGAATATTAGTTTGATTCAGTTCTGCGGCGTGCGTTCATTCTGAAAGTCCTCGTTTGTGAATTGTGTGAATAGGCGGTGGATACTTTTTTTCCTCGCCAAAAGGCCGTGACACCATTGAACCTATCAAACCACAGACGTTCCATCTCCTCGATGGGTCGAGGGCGCCCGCCTCCTCTCTGTGGACCGACAGCCATTTTTGGAGGCTGCTCAGTTTTCAGTCTCTGGCACTGACGAGGCCGATCATTCCTACTTGCTGAACACCGAAGCCTTGTGTTTAGAATCGCAGTGGAACCGATGGAAATTCAGCAAATTTCTCTCCACAGAAAACAAAGACTCGCTGCTGGCACCAAAATCGTCGATCAGATTTCTTTCTACGCATCCAAGTTGTATCGTCCCACTAGACTCACTCATGTAAACATGGCTATGAATTATGGGTCGCTGTCATGGTACGAACCCTGATGTAATAACTGATGCATCAGCACCGGGTGCTGCCAATGCTTTACTGGATGGCCGCCAAATGAAATGCAGTCACGACTTTGCATCATTTAACTTACAGGCTCTACTGGAACCAATTTGATTTCATTTCTTTCTCCGTCTCTTTCTAATAACAGACGTTTTTGAGTGCGGTTGAATAGAAACAGTCTTCCGTTGACTGCATTCATGTTCTTGAGGACTTCCCGTTTAGTTGTAGCTTATAGTTTTAGCTCCCACAGCGGTGCAGCTATCTCGTCTTTTCTAATCAAGTTGAGACGCGCCCTTTTCTCTGCACGCAAGAAGCGGTTCGGCAGAAGACAGAAGAACGAATGATACAGTGCATAATAGAAAATGAGAAAAAGACTTGATTTACAACCGGCTGGGATGTAAGATGAATTCAATTAACAAGTTGATAGGAAAGCAGCAGGCAGTGGGAGCGGAGGATGTATCTGACAGAGGCCGCTGATTGGGATTAGGTTAAAACCATTAGACAATCTGCAGCGTCACTCCTCTTTGAACACACGTCGTCGGGTATCGTGCTTTTCCGCAGAGGAGACAGCCGAGTCGAGAGGAGGCACAACCGCAAACTATGACAGGGCCGCGCCTCAAGCCAAAGAAGATAGCTACGCATGTCTGCCACGGAGAATAATCTTTTGCAACAGCGAAGAACAGAGCGCCGCTTCTTCTACCAGATGGATGTAAACACCCACCAGCCTCGGACATTTTTACCCCGTCTTTGTGCCGCGTACTCCAAGAGCCGGTGGCCTGCAAACGAGTAGCAACGGCAACCGCAGTGTCCGCACGTAATACAAATCACCCAAATGAAACCCCCCCCAAAAAAGGTTAGAATGTAAATAGAGAACGGCAAAAAAGAATTTAAAAAACGGCTAAAGCCTAAAGGTTCAAATCAAAAGGACACACACTGGATTTCAGCCCCTACAGTTTTTGTTTTCAATGTACGTCCACTCATTGCACACAACAATATATATTTTTTTCTCTCAAAAAATACAGGGAGTCATGCAAATATAACAACTTTTCTTTTATGTAGTACACTATGTTAAACTTCCTCTGTTATTAAACCGTTATGACATATATCATTGCATGTACAAAAGGTCAATCCCCTGGTTCCCAATAACCAACCTGCTCAACCCACCAAAATAAAAAAATAAACAAATACAAACAGCCAACTGAAAATAGAGAAACACACATATGACATATCAAGAGATCAGGCTGAGTATAAAACATCCATAGAAGCATTTTTTTTTTTAAAACCTTAGTATTTTTTCTATCTTTTATCTAGTGTACAAAATTCACAGATATTTCACAGATTCTTTAAGTCCTTTATCCGTCTTTGGAAACTAAACCTTGCAGAGTTAATGCATAAGCGTAAATAAAGGTGTGTGTGTGTCTAAAAAGTGTAGATAAAATCAGGTGGCAAACCTTTAATTGGGCTTACAACACTGACAGCATTTTAAAACGCTCTTCTGCTCTTTTTCTTAAGAATTATAAGAGATCTCTGCCTTTTAAACAACTACAAAGGAGGTTCGAATCGATCCCTTTGTGTTGTGTTGTGTAGTATTTTTGTTGTTAAATTAGAACATGTGTCGTCTGCTACGTTCTGGACATGGAAGTCAGGGAACGATTCCCACACCCACTCGGAGTGCTGGCGTTGGAAGCGCTCGGGCCCGTCAGCGCCGCCTGGTTAAAAAAGTGATCGCTCACTGGCCGGACGAATTCCAGCGACGTTTCTTAAAAGACGCCGCGCGTCTGTCTTCTGTGGCTCATCGTGAGCGGGAAACACAGCACCGTTTCCCCATTTATCAAATCCGGCTGATCACCCACACGCTAAGCTAATGGACTTAATGGACTGTTGAACAAAAGGTGTACAGAAACCAAATGAAAGGATTTAAGACCCACCGTCAGTGTCACAGGGACACCTGCTTTGAGACGGAGTGGAAGTGAAGCCCTTCCTCCCCGAGGCTTCAAGCGCCACTTTCACTCGTCAGTAACACCAACGTTTTGAACATTAGTTGTTCCCACGATACGCTCTTGTTATGTGTGTGTGTGTGTGTGTGTGTGTGTTTGTAATGGTTCATTGCAGGCGGACCAATGAATCATGCATGTTAGGTTTTAGTGCAGTCATGCTGCCATCTCTCTCTCTCGTCTGCCTGCATTCAGCCAAAAACCCCTCTTGCTTGGTGCTCGCCTCTCTTTGAAGACCTCGTCCATTACCTGCCTTTCAGGGAAACAGTTATTCTGCTTGAGTCAGACTCTGACTCATTCTGACTCACTTTTTTCCAATTTTTCCGTCTTCTGTGTACGTGTGTGTGTGTGTGTTTTGTGCATTCACAGATTTGTGTTTATTTTACTGTAAATGATCAAGCAAAATAATAGTGTTTACTGCATTAGTGATTAGTACGGCAGCTTCGCATTACCCCCAAAACTGCGATGTTAAGTTAAGGGAAGCAACCAAAGTCCAGTCTGCTCTGAAACAAGATTAACATTATTAGCACATTAGAGGTCTTTCTCACGTCTGGCTTTCCTGCGGCTCTGAAACAAACAACAAGGAAGGTGCTACAAAAAGGACCATTGATCAGTTTGCGAGCTGCAGGGTTTCTTCTGGATATGAGCAGCGTGAGAAGGACGGGAAGGTTCTTGTTTATGTTTGGTGTCTTGACGTGGCTACTGGGAAAAATGCTTCTGGTGCTTGAGACTTAAATAATTCATTTGGCTATTACACCAGTGTGTGTTCCGTCAATCAAACCTTTGTGTCCATAAACAAACATGTATCTTGTGTATTTCCAGTGTGTAACCCTTGTTTAGCTAGCAGGCCTTTAGGTAATTATTCATGATGACTATCGGAGTCAAAATATCACTCGTTGTTGAGTTGAAAACTGGTTGTACATCATTAGAAAGATTCTCCCGCATTGACAACGTTCTGGTGAATCAAATGATAGAAGCAGAAGAGCACTTGAAAATACATCTCTCTGAAAATCTATATCCTGAAAAGTAGAATTGCGTGTTACATTACAGTAATAATCAGGATTTTCTGTCACATTTCATCTTGTCAGATAAATAAACAGCTAAATTGATGAGCAATCCCGATATTTCTTCAGTCCCACTTATCCTCAGTGTCCATTTGTGTAAACTTCCGTGGGATTAGGTGCTGTCACACAATGTACCAGCGAAGAAAACGTTTTCCTCTCATTTGTGTCAGTCAATCACAGTTGCAAGTTCCTTTGGGGAAAAAAAACTCTTATATCAGATATCAGAAGATCAGAGGGAGACATTGCCGGGACTGGATGTCCATCACGTGGCGCTCTATCATATACGGAAGGAGAGGCGGTGCGTCCCAAAATGGACGTCTACATTTGGCCAAGCGTGTTACGAGCAGCCTGACTGTATGAGTAGAATATGCACAGACTGTTTGTTCTCGTGTTGGGTTCCACACTGCAGTCCAGTTGGTGGCTTAGCATATCTAGCTGATTTGCCAAGAAGAGAAAGACACCGGAATGAGATGCTTATTTTTGAGAGAGGTTGTTTTCCCGATGCTCGTACCCTCGACTAACCAAATTGAGCTTTAAAGAAATACAAAGACGGCCAAATGCCGTTAAAATCCTGGCAAATAACTTCACGGTGCATTAAAATACCACAACACCAACTGGAATGGGGTGTGGATGAAGAAATGCACAGGTGTGGATTGTCAGAAGGGCACAGACTCTCCGTGGTAGTTTGGAGAGAACCGCCCCACGCGCCTCAACAGGCAGAGTATAGCCGAGGCCTTACAACACCCTCTCATATTTGTACACTGTTGTACTGTCATTTAATACAAAGCCAGGGGATAGTTCTGTTCTGTTTAGTTCGGTTTCTCGCTGCACCCTTAATTTCTTGGACCGGAGGGAGCGGGGAAGCCAGTGGGGGAGGGGGGGATCTCACACAGGAAGAAAGTTAGGATCCAAAGTGGGGCACAAATGCTCCTTGATTTTAACTATGTCCAATTTTCCCTGGAATATACCCGTTAAAAAAAAAAGAAAGTGAAGCAACGAACGCTGATTCAGTTTTCACATTTTCAGGGTCTCAGATGATGTAAACATGTACAGGCTGCACAGCACTGAGCAGGATGCCTTTTGCCAGAATGCCAGCGAATGAAAATCACAAGAATATCATTTCAATAGAAAAAGCGAAGTAGATGGAAATCACTCTACGATAACGAGGATCGGATGGTGGCTGTGTTGGCAAGAGGCACCGCACTGCTGGGGTATCGCATCACGGTCATGTGACGTACATCTGGGCCAATACGATGAACCGATGATATTTTTACATTTGTCAGTGCCATTGATAATCTAGTGTTGTTCAGACTCAAACAACCAGCCAATTGGCGAGATGTGACAGCTATTAATTAAAGTCAAATTGGGCACATACAATATCATTTGCCGAGGCGGACACCCGCGTACACTGACCACCCTGCACCATACGGCCACACACACACACACAACCGTGAGGCCTAAAGTGCAAGCAAACATGCCTGTCATGAGTTGGCTAATTAAGTTATCAACAGACAACAATAGCATCAATTTCCAGAACAGAACAGACATGTTGGCAGTAATTAGAAGTGTCCTTTCCCCCTGTGCCTCACTCCCTTTGTATGTTGGAGAATGGATTTGAAACGTACTGCGGTGCTCTTGGTGAATGGTGCAAATGGATTTAGCCGTAACCAGCTCGTAATCTACTTACATTCACAGTGGCTGCAAAAAAAAATGACCTGTATCTTTCCATGTGTTGTCTTTTTTGCTAATATTGCATCTTGCTTTCAATTTCTTTTGGTCTTTTGTTGCTTGTAGGTCATGCCTTTTTGTAATGGGACTGCTGTAATGTTAAATGTATCCATTGTACAGAAAAGCAGCATTGAATTGCCTTAGTAAAAGGAACATAAGGGGTTAATTTGTAACAGGATAACTCCCCCGTCAGTCTCCAATATGTCTTAACATATCCAAGTGCACACTGTAAATTGAAACAGCACCTAATACCAACGATAGAAAACAACATATTGTATGACTTAAGATTAAAATGAAGGATATCAGTATCTACTTTCTTTGATTACCCAGAAGTGAAATGATGGCACTGATAAAAATGGCCTATATGACCACAAAACATGATCACTCAAACAGTAGTAACTTACACAGTTGGCATTTCTCCCCATGCTATATTCTATAAGTAAAAAAAAAACACTAAATGAGAATGATCCAGAAAATGGTGCTACAATGACAATGTCAAACAAAACACCATAATGACGCTCGTATCCCAGGCACAGTTTTGCAGTCCTTACTTTAGCACGATATTCTGTACACCTAGCATGCCAATAATCAAAAAAAAAAACAAAGGCAATTTTTTGTCCTACATTTTTTTCCGCGTGATCTTCAAATTGTCCATCAGGAAAAGCAAACACCCCTTTTCCACAGAAAGCCTATCTCTGGTATCCCAGTCACAGCTTCTGCTGCGCTGACACCCCCTTCCAGTAATCAAGGATGTCATGCAGGTCCTCGCCTTTAGCAAACTGCACCTTTTTTCTAAGGGCATTCCCGGCTGTCACGTAACAGGCCTCGTCGCGCTGGCCTTTGCGGTAGGGGCGAAAGCGCTCCCAGATCCGCAGCGAGCTCTCTGAGGAGTACTCTGGGCCGGAGGAGTAGCCGGAGTAACTGGAATGGTGACGGGCAGGCGAAAGTTGGGAGTAAGACGCCGCATCCCTGCGGGAGCGCGTCAGGGGCTTCAGGAAGGAAACCTTCTGGGCCGGGGAGCCTTGGTGGGAGCCTTCATAATACAGAGCGGGGACGGAGTGGCGGTGCTCCGAGCAGTGGTAGTCCTGCTGCACCTCCAGCTGCTGCTGCTGTTGCTGCTGTTGTTGTTGTTGTTGAATTTGTTGCTGTTGGTGGTAATGGTGTGACTTCTGGCCGTCCTGATGTTGGGCACCAAAACCACCACTGTCGCAACCACCACCACCCCCTCCGCAGCAGCTCCCGCTCCCCACTAAAGGCAGCCTCTCAAGCGGCTCCCCACAGCCCACGGGACTGGCCCGGTCGGGGTACTGGTGCTGTTGCTGGTTGCAGCCGTCTGGGCTCCGGGGCTCCGCGACCTCCAGGCTGTACACCCTGGCTCCTCCACGCTCCCTGTCCCGACCCACGGAGCCACAAGACGTGGTGCTGCACTGTTTCTTGACCGCGTTGACAATGACCACGGCTGCATCTGCACTCATTTGCCGCTGAATTGGACGCACGGCAGTGGCTGGTGGCGGCGGCCTGTATGGGGGAGAGACGACAAAGCCGCCACCGCTGATCCCTGGCCGCTCGGAGAGAGGGGCATTCAAGGCAGGGAGTGGAGGCGGAGGGGGTACTTTATTCGCAGCAATGACTTGGCACGCTTCTGTCATCCCTTGGGAGATTGGGATTAGGCCACGAGTAAGGGAGGACGTGCTGGTGGGGGGAGGGGAGGTGGGATTGGAGCTGGCCGTATGGTTCGTAGAGGCTCCTGAGGCTGCGACGGCTGCCGCATCCAGTTTGAGTGCATCAATGCAGTTGTTGATGATCTGATTGACCTTGTCCACCTCCATGGCAATGGTGGAAATCTCCGATGCAGAGCCGTGTCCGTCCTCGTCCGAGTCATCCCCGCCATCAGTTCCGTCATCGTCTCTCAAGTCCCTCCCTCCGTGCCCACCGTCTCCCATCCTCTCCATCCCTGCCCCTCCAGTCCGGATATCCATGTAGTTTCCTTTACTTGTAGCCATGGCCTCTGAAAAGGCCGTGGCCATCTTTTCCACTTGCGGGATGGAGGAAAGCCGGGAGGAACTGGTGTTGGACGAGCCACAGGACGCGGACATGGGAAGTTTGCCTCCGTGGTGGTGTTGATACTGGTGGTGCTCTCTTGACTGCTCCTGCAGCTTCTGGACCGCCAAGGGATCATTTGCCACAGCTGCCGCCACCTCCGGTCCATACCGCATTTCCAAAATCGTTTTTTTGACGCAGATGGACTTTCTCTTCTCGTCGTGCATCCGTTTCTTGCGTAGACAATAGTAGACAATGCCTAGAACGATGAGCATGCCAAAGAGACAGCCGACAATGGTCATTATGTAGTGCGAAGTGGTGGAAGGTGGGGGCACTTTGTCGTCCTGATTATCATCCCGGGTGGCAAACTGGAGGCAGGTGTGGTTGTAGCGTTGAGAGTTCCGAATGGACGCTACGCAGAAGGTGTAATTGGTGTGTGGTTTGAGCTTGTTGAGCGTGATCATCTCCTTCTTGTGTTTCAGATTCATGACGTCGGACACGTACGTCTGGTTGTATTGTGTTAGGATGTACATTTTGCTGAAGGGATTTGGAATCTGCACAAGGAGAGAGGCCGACGACAAACTGAAATGATGGAGCTTGATGCTGGGAACAAAACTGTGCTCAGTCGATGAGGAAGAGGTGGTGGGCTGGTTGTACGGACCCATACCGCCAAACATCTCGGGCCCCATCCCGGAAGAACCATCCAGATCGGGTGGGAGAGAGGTCATTCCTGGAATCATCACTCCATCTCGGCAGTGATGGTACAAAATGTTTTTGGCGTTGCGTCCAGCGTGGCCGGCAGCGGTTAGTAAGGGGTAGCCGAACATCTCGCGGGGCGTCTCGCACTGGAGGCGGTCGTAGGTGTGCGTTACATTGTTGAAGGACTCCAGCCAGGTGAGGAAGCTGTAAAGGTCACAGCCACAATGGAACGGATTGGCTGCCAGTTCACACACCATCAGCCGGCTGAGAACGGTGAACGTAGATGGGTCAATGCGGCCGAGCTTGTTGGACGACAGGTCAATGCTGCTGAGGCTGGGGCACTCCCAGAATGCATTGCTGGCAATGACTTCAATGAGGTTGTGCTGGAGGAAGAGGCATTGCATGCGGCCGAGCCCTCTCATCATGCCCTCGGTCAGGTTTGTCAACTTGTTGTAGCCCAGCTGAAGGACCTGAGAAAAACACAGGAGAAGCACTTTTCAGCATTTATGGGTTTTTTGAATATGAATTATATTACATAATAATATTTACTATGTTCTCACTGATAAGAACAGTGCATGTTTAAGGCACTCGGCAAAGAATGCTACACCACAAAGTTACACTCAACATCAAAACGAAATACAGTGAAATGTGCTTGAATGACATGTTAAATAACAAAGCACTATTCTAAAACATCAAAATTGTACTCAAGCCTTCGTGAATTCAATTATTGTGTTGAGCTTTCATCATCCCGTGGCCTTTTTCACCTGCAGGTTGGCTTGTCCCGCGAAGGCTCCGTCCTCAACATAGCTGATTTCGTTCTTGGTGAGGTTGAGGTCAGTCAGGTTGGTGAAGCGATACATGGAGCTGAAGAGCACCGCTTTCAGCTTGTTCTCATTCAACCTCAGGTCATGGACGGTGTTGTTGATGTGCTGCGGGATAGTCTCGTACGGCGGCTGGTTCTGACTGCAGATCGCCAGCCACACGTAGCCTTTGTCCCCCTCAATGAGCCAGCAGTCCCCGTGGACCATTTGGGGAAGGAAGGAGAAGAACAGGAGGGAGGGGAGTATGAGAAAATGTAGAGTGGAGGTGGAAGAAGCACCCTGCATGATGCCGATAAAAAGAAGTCAAAAGGAGGGGCAGCTTTAATTATGTAAGGAAAATAAAAGAGCGGGAAGGAAAGGAGGTTGTGTTGGCAGAAAAAAGGGAAGCAACAGTGGTGTCTTTAAAAAGAGGAGTACGGTCTGGGTTTGGATGCTGAGAAAAGGGGTGAAGCTTTCACAAAGGCCGTCACAGCTTTGTGTTCATTGTGGTTATTAGCAGGGGGACCATGTTATGTCATATCTTGTTGGGCTGCAATGCGGAGTGACGCGGCTCGTCTTCATTGTCTCTCCTGTGGCATCCGCTGTGACTCAATCAAATGGATGGGTCCTTGGAATGATGCAACATCTGTGGAGAAGAATACAAAAAAAAGATATATAGTTTCTTTTAATCACTTCTTATTTGTGTTGCAGGGCTGAATCCTCCCGCTCTGGATAGTACATTGACTTACATTTCCTCTATTGTCAGCACTGTTTGCACAAATGTACCGAAAGGCGCATGAACAAACAATTTAGAATCTTGAACGTAAAAGAATACTAAATAGTTTCAGAGTCCATCAAATTCCTCTAACATTGCATTGTTTCAGAATGAGTATATTCATGGAACCTGCAGGCAAAATCAATCTCAGTTTTCCTTAGGGCTCGTTCCACACGCTTTCTCATTATTTTAATATGCGCGTGCTACAGTGCCCCGACAGCTTCCCTTTTAGCCTGCTGCATCTGCACTTCATCATCCCTTCCGTGCTCCCCGACCTGGTGAGGCTGTGTGGTCATCAAGCCATGGCACAGACACATACATGCGCACCAAGCTCTCCTCAGGGCTCAGAGGGGCGGGTCAACTTTCCTTTAAAAGCAAAGTGCAGCATTAATCCTTTAAATGCTAACAACACTTTGTCTCCAAAGACATTCCTTGTTATGAAACTCTCCTGCCAAGACCTAAACTCTCAATCCCATCTGCAAGTCATTTGAGTAGCAGTCAAACGTTCGCATAAGGAGAGGATTAGCTGCCTGTTGAATCGGGACAGACTTTGTCCGCCGCTGGGAAAACATACTTACAAATACACACACATTACGCAGACACGCCAAATGAAATGCACGCATGGCTTCAGACAGAGGTACAAACATGTACGTCCTCATGTGGGAGTGTTCACCAATATGAACTTGCTGTCAAGATGGATTCTGGACAGCACAATAATGGCGTGCTATTTGATATGGTGCATTATGGTACTAATTCAGACTTCTTGATTCCGACAGAGAATCGAATTCATTGCGGCCCATTACGGTGCACACTCACCCGAGGGGCCGACAGAGAATCAGGTGCACCCTCTTTTTTTAATCTTCCTATTACTACAGACGATTGTTACACCTAAAGCATTAGTGAAATGACCCACTATCGTGAACAACAGTCCCCCTTTACAACAAAGCAAAGGAGATCAACCTTATTTGTTTTTCAATTCATGTTAACAGATGAATATACAGAACAAAAAAACTAAACGTGTACAATATGGCTCCAAGACATTAAATAAAAGTACAAATGCACCCACAAATCACTATGGATGAATTAAGATTCACTCACCTCCAGTTATGTGATTTGATTTAACATAAATGTTTCTTACTTTGCTAAATATAATATAGGCCATAGCAACAAGCATCCCAATCATGGTCGAATGATCGTTCCAAAATAATTAGAAAAAATATGACAGTTGTTTTATTTTTAGCTGTTAAAGGCATGGTGAGTTCGGATCCATCTCCAAATCTTTACCCCAACTTGGTACCATACGATCTGCAGTGGTTACTCATTCAACGATTCCTCTTCTAGTCTCTATACAGCACATGCATTTGTGCTGGGACACAAAGCGATGGATAGCTGCGTCTCTGTTGTCCGAGGCTCATCCTTTCGACATGAGACGTGATCTCATTTACTGCTCCACATAGGGAAGCCCAGAGGGTTCACATGAGCGAGGCAGGAAGCGCAGTAGGTCCGTGTGTGTGCTCGTTTGGGGATATGATTATATAATTAGGAATATGGGACATGCAGAGCACCTGTCTCAAAGGGAAAGAGCATGACTCATATCCATTCGGAAGTGGGAATATGTAGGACAGATCAAACTTGTTCCTTTACTGCTACAGGCTGCTGCTGCTGCTGCTGCGCATTGTATTGTTTGTTTCTATACAAACGAGGAGATATATTTCTACTTTATTTGTCCTTGCAAGTTGAAAAGAGAATTATATGCATGGAAGCATATTTATTGCATGGTTGCTTTTTTATTTTTCCACAAAATCGTCTTTTAAAAAACATTTTCATTTTTGAAAAGGTCTTTTATTTACATTCTACAGTTTCTATTCAAGGCAGGTATGATTTCCTACCAGCATTTGTGGAGTGAATACTGAAATCTTATCCGAGTAAGTCACAGCAGAAGTAACAGGTGAACATTTGGCACAAGGGCTGCTGCAGGTGTCTGACAATTCTACTTCAACCTCTTCCAGAAATATCCCTTTTTTACTTTCATCACAAGCCTCATCTTGTTAATGAATTACCGCCATGAGAGAAGATAGAATGGAACAACTGGAGATAATTAAATATTGAACATCATTTATCGGCTGTAAGAATGTACGACAACCTTCCGCTGGACCAAAACATTTACGATGCATCCGCACGCTTCCTTTGGAGGATTCAAAGATTGAAAACTTTCCATCCCACACCGTGTAAATCTACACACACACACACACACACACACACACACACACACACACACACACACACACACACACACACACACACCATTATCAGACCCATCCCCTCATGTGACACAGATTCTGGGTTACTCAATGTACACGCGCGTATTTATCCTCACAGTTGCCATGGAAACACACTTATGATTGACAGACCCAATTAAACAGAATAGGTGGCTGTTGACATTTGCATCAAACAGGTCTCTTCTGCTTAATTCACCACGATAATGATTATTGGAGAGGATACATTTATGTTCTATTACCAACAGGAATCTGTGGTAAATGTATTTACTAGGAAGCCTTGTGCTGCAAACAATGATATCATTGCTAGTTGTGTCACCTGTGAATTATGAATGTAACCATTGAACTGACATGCCGAAAAAAGAAAGGCAGATGCATAATAAATACATAGTGCAAATGTGCAGTGCGTAACATATACAAAATAAACAGCATGGGCTTGTTTCTAAGGCTTCCATATGTACTCATTGTAAGGATTGTTACGTTGTCAATAACAGAGATAATAATCATTGAGAGTATTTAGAAATGAAATGCAATTGATTCAGACCAGATGAGTGTTAGTATCAACCTTACAAGTATTTACATTTATTGTCCCATTTGTTTGGATGGATACAGATTAGGCCTGAATTGATTCATTCTTTGTAAATAACTTTTGTGTTGAATTAGCATAAACGTCTTAACAAGTACATAACACTATTTAATTATTGCATTTAATTTGATTCAAACAAGGAGTACAAGACGTAGTCTTTATCCTATTGCATAATTAGTATAGACTCATTTTTACCAGAAAACATGCTTATCTTCATTCTGATAAGTCGTTATTGAGATATGACATTTCTCTTAGAAGATCTTAGCACCCAGCCGTCAACCGCAAAATCACCAAAACGCTCAGTACTTTGCTCCTTTTACTGTTAATCCTTTTCAGCCCTTCTTGAAAAGATGTTTAATGAAATGTAAGCTCTGAAATCGGTGCGAGGACACAAACACCAACACACACAAGCACACCCACCCACAGCGGATATTGTTCTTGAACCTGGCTAGCAGGGGAAGAAAGGGATTAGGATTATCCCCCTAAACTGGGGGACAAACAAATTGTTTGCCACAAACAGCAAATTCCGACAAGACTGTCCAGAAAGTCCTTGTTGTGTCTGCACCTGCTTTTTGCTCTTTCTCTCTCGGGGTTCCTCCTGATCTTTCTAATCCACCAATCCCTCCGTCCCTTCTTGTCTTAAAACTCCTCAAATCCTCACCCGGCCGCGATGTTCGTGCCGGCCTCTTTAATCTCCTCTCTTTTTCACCCCTCCCCCCCCATCAGTCTGCGCCGTTGTTCTCCCTTCCACATGCCCGGGCCAGTTGGTCCCTGGAGGTACCGTCAGCGTGGTGCGGAGAAGTTTGGGTCTGTGTGGAAAAAAACTCTCTTTCCTCTCCACTTCACACGAGCCTCCGAGATGAGACAAACACAACTACAGACATGTGCGGCTCCTCTGAGAGCTCCACAGCGAGTGGAACAGATCACTCCTCAGCGGCCTGAAGAGGAACCCGCTAAAAGCAGCAGTTCCACTTTGTTGAGCAACGCTGAACACAATGTTGCTTGTCCACCCCTGGCATGCCATATGTGCGTTTCAAATGCCCTTCCTACACAATGCGTGTATACACAAATATATGTATACGTTTTATCGTATATTCAGTCAAACGAATCTGCATAAATGAATGTTTGGAACCATCGCAGCATTTATTTCCATATGGTGGGTAGTTTACAGTATGTGTTGCTCAAGTAGGATGAAAGATGTCAGAAGATATAAATAAATGAGGAGAGATAGGAAGGAGAGGAACAGCAGAGAGAGCCGAGCGAGGGAGAGAGAGAGAGGGCAGTGGCAGAGACAGCTGGAGACGGAACGTTTGATCTTTGATTCCTCCACAAGCTTACTTCTCACCGGCGCACGAGCTGAAACACAAATCACCTTATCATACCTCCGCTATGTTATTATGAGAATGATCCAGGATGCAAAAAAAGAGTGTGGGTGGGGGAGTGAAATATCTATATATAAAAAAAAAAAAGAAAACACCCGTAGAGAAAAGGCAGAAAGGGAAGGAAAGGGATAGTGGAGGAAAGTGTGTTCTACCTCTACGAGGTCCGATCTATAATTCATACTTGGTGGTCATGTAGGCCTTGAGAAGATGTTCTCAGCTCCCCTCCCTTTCTTTTTTAAGCCTGTCTGACTCTCACTGTATCCTTTCTGACCTCCTGTGTGTGTCTGTGTCTATAACTGTTTACCCATGTTTTACTTTTAGACCACTGCCATCTATGGCTGCTCATGCATGACATCGTATCCATTTCCTGGAAGAAGAACAGGAGCAATGGAGCGTGACGGAAAAAGGCCCAAAGGTTTAGGATCTAAATCGAGCAGAGCACCTATAAGCCGGCCGCAATTTCAACCACAACTGCTATAGTTTTCTTCTCTGCCCCAAATGACCAGGCTCAAGGCCGGGGGGGGGGGGATGAATGGCGAAGCTTGGACATGTGAGAGGGTGAGGGGTGGACACCTCAGAGCCAGAGAGGCTTTTTGACAGAAATTCGAGAGCAACTTTGGCAAACAG